AAGTTGAGCTGGCCCGACTGGTAGAACCCCGAGAGCCGCTGCTGAAGCACACTTTTGGATTTATCGACGGAACGAATCTTCGGGTGGGTACTTACGTTGGATAAGAATATGTATTGTCATTATTCACTTCTACTTCCAGGTGATGCAGCCATCCTACGCAGACCTTCAGAATGTCATGTACAACGTCTAGTTACACGCAGCCTTCGTCACGGGGATAATCTGCTTTTACTGCGGATGGCTGCATCATCTTGAGCCGCCACAACTGCCCGGGCTCATGTAGTGATTCAGACACTTCGCTTGGTTTCCGAAACAAGCATCTCGACCCAAAGGTTTGTCCAGATCCGCGATAGAACGTTGTCTCCGACTCTGCATTCCCATGCTCGGCGGAGATGACGAGGCACATCTTAACCCCTCTAAAGACGGAGATATTGAACGCATCCCATCGGGGCTCCGAAGTGCCGCACGTACCCTGCACAAATCAACCATCTCAGTGCGCCAGGCCTCGGAGTGGGGCATGGGGAGTATCCAGAAAGTTTATAGTCGCCTCAATCTCCCGCTTCCCTATGACCCCAAGCTCCGGGGCCTGCGCATAAATAACATGTTTCGGTTGCAAACTATAGAGTGCGCACGATTGGCATCTCGCAGATACGCACTACATTCAGTGGAGAGATGGAAATAACTTCGACGACGCAGTAAGCTTTATAACATACATGGCTGTATAAGTTTGAGTTGACCAAGGCTTGTTATTAATGAACCTTTGGATATGAAGGAGCCTCGTCAGTACGACTTGTTCCGGGTCCTCAGGGCTCTAACTTACAGCTTTGGGGTTGGCGTGCTTGTCCGTCGTGGTCGTGACGGTGGTGGTGGCTCACACAGACGCTTGCGTATTCCAAGATGTCGATCTAGGCTGACTTTGTTAAGGCGCCTAGCAGCACCGCCAATTCCTGTGTACGAGCTCGAGCGTCTTTTCTGTCGCGCCGATCGCGCTCTTCTCTTTCAAAATTGTCTTGTCTGCGGCGTTCCTCAGTCTCTTTCTTCTCTGCGTGGTATAGCTCTTCACGAGCAGCCACTCCATCATGACGGTGTCGGTCTCCATCGCGTCACCGCGCTTCTACTTTCATCTCGTTCTCCTCGTGTAAGAGGAGAACCATCTCCGTCATGCTGCTTCCGAGGCTGGGCCAGGTGTTTTGGATGGTGCTGAGCTTTTGCCTAAGAGCTTCTGTTGCCAGTTGGGCTCTTACCCGCTTTGCCTTCGCGAAGCTAGCCTCTGCATTGTCCAGATCATCGTCGTCAATAGATCGTTTGCCCAGGATGTCACGGAAAGCGCGCAAGTCTCCACCTCCAAGCCGACTCAACGACGTCTGTAGGTTGCTAGTGCAACGAGCATCAGTCGTTTCATTTGCGTTGGATTGATGCCCGGTCAAGGTCCTCGGGGATTTTGCCTTGGTAGTGCTGGCGGAACGGCTCCTGCTCGGTTTTCGGAGTCCTACAGAGCGGAGAGTGT